TAATACTAAATAGACCAATGTAAATACAAAATCTAGATTCTGTTACTTATTTTTTGCATTGTATATTTATAACAAAATGATTATAATAATTGAGTTGGTGTGCTGGGAAAAAATTACCTTTTAAATTCTGTTTGTCTAAAACCATTTTCTTTCGTTATTAAATTTTTTGAAATGCTTAGTCGAAGTGATCGAGGGAACCAGCAACAGAACAAAAAGCATAAATCTGCTACACACACAAAAAATAGCAAACACACGAGTTCAACATCCCATAGGTTTGTTACGTACATTTTTATAAAATATAATACGGATTGGCAATCAAAATGCAAATTTAATGCTTTTAAAGCCGAGTTGTGCAGATTGAACAAAATTTAAATATTTCAATAAACAATAAACTTTTAAGTTTCTCTCATTTTAAAATTCAATAAAAATATCAATTATTTTTTTCTAAATTAATTCCATTAACAATTATTTTCGATTAATTAATAAATTATTTTCACTTTCCAATAACAGCCCAGTTAAATCGTCAAAAGATAAACATCACAGCAAGGACAAGCATCATTCCTCATCGCACAAAGATCGTAGTCGCGATAAAGGTCATCACAGCAGCAGTAGCAAACGTTCCCGCGAGGATAGTCGAGATCATGGACATAAATCTAAAAAATCTCGTCATTAACAAAACCAACAGCTTAAAAAAAATTTTTTTTTATTCTCTTATTAATTAATACGTATAGTTTTTTACTTTTAAGTTATATTATCTTATGGATATTACGCCAATAGTACTTCTTTCATAAATCTCCACAACAATTGCATGAATGAGTTAAATTATATTTGTTTTTATTTAAGTAAAAACCCAAAAAAAAACAAAAACGGATTAACTTGTATTTAATTTAAAAGCCAATGTTAAGTTATCATACATAAATTTATATGTCAAAAACCGTAAAGCATATTGAGTAAAATAACTTTTTAATGTAAAACAATAACTTTTATTTAAACTAAATAGGCACATCAAAATATGTATATGGGTATTTTGAGAAAAATGTATGTATGTATTTAAGGGGACGGGTATGTATTTGGTTTATATATACATTTTGTATCATGTGAAAAATTTGGTTACAAATGTTGAATTTCATTATTTTGGGCAATTTCTTCTAATACCCTATATATCTCCCACAAAGAACAACGTATTCCCCGTGCAGCAAGAACTGCCCTAGCTCAATTATCTCCTTACGTATCGATTAATTGATGCATTAATCCGTTAATTTCCAATGTGTACCCTAACTGCAACTCTACTATTCATGATGTTATGAATAGTTATGAATATCCAATATGTTTTCCTGCCTCAACGCACATACAACCTTGAGTCCAATTGATTCTTGTACTCATTCCATAGAAGTGACCAGGTTTCCCTAATCCTGGTTGATTCCAACTTAAATTTCACAAATCCCAAATCATATCTATCCTTTCCCCTCTCACTACTTTTACCCTTCCACATTCGAACCCATATATGCGTCTTTGTAATTTCTTCCATTTTATTTTCTTTTTATATTCTTGCGGGTAAAACAATAACAATTATGTTGTGCTCTGGCATGCCCTGGTTTTTTTGAGATATTGTCCTTTAACATTGTATACTTTTTACAGTAATTTTAATATTGAATAAAACATAAATGCTCACCCCAAGGAACATGAAGCTCTTCAGGTTCTTTACCAATATTCACGAAAGTGTGAAGCTAATGCAGTTCTTGAAGATCTTGCGGTCATTTACAAGAAGGTACATGACGTTCTTTTCAAATGAGCAGAATACAGTAAAAATCGCTGAAATGGAACATCGTTAAAGTGTAACCTTATTACACATGAAACATCAACTTTTTATTTGAATTTTTCTTCTTTCATTTATTAAGCAATTAGAACTGCATTTTCTTATCATAAAATACCGTCAAGTGCCGTGTGATAGCATGGAAAGTTATCCGATGGCCTTCCATTGCAACTAACCAATCAACTGGGTCGCACGTTCAGTTTTTGTTTGTTTGAAAACAACTTTAAAGAACATTAAAACTTTAAATTATAATTATTAAAACATTAAAAATTATTATATATATATGTATATATATATATAATGAAATTGTAATATTTTCTTTCCGTTCGCTCTGATTTCTTTTGTTCTCTTTTTAAGTTCACACCAAGCAATTCTAAAGATGAAAATTACAAACCCTTTTTTGTATGTTTATGGACGTCTATGTTATTCCAAGTTAAACGGTGTGTTTCTATATCCACTTTAATTTGAAAGAAATAGTACGTTTTAATACTTTTTTCACATATTTTATTTTCTCGTCAATAATTAACAATTCAACAATTATATGTTTGATTTAAAACGTCATTGTATTTTATTATTGTAATTAATTTTCATAAGACTTTCATTTGTTACTAATAACGAAACCGATTTCTTATTGTCGTATTACTGTTTGAATTTCTATTAATTTTCACATCAAACATATTCCGTGTTTTGTTTATAGGAAAACGCATTTTATTTTTTAACCAAGTAGTAAAGGCGCGTTCATTATCTTGCATTTTACGCATTTCATCTTCAGTGGTTTTTAAAGTTTGTTCCACTGCGAGTCGTTGCTTTTGCACCAAACGTTTCTCCCGCTGTTGTAGTTGCTCGCGACTCAACCCATATTCGGAAAGACATCCCGTATATTTTGGTAGCTTCTCTTGTGCAGCATTCCGATATTCACAGCATATTTTATAATTTAATTTCAAATCAGTCACCTCTGGCGGGGTCATGTGCTTCTGTGTATTATTGCCATGGTTACGCATCGAAAATCTTTTACGAAAAGGTGAAAATTTTCGTATTTTATTTACTCTAGACTTCGTACATTCATCTAAATCATCAAGTGGCGTCTTATCGTAATCATCCGGTATGTAGGAAGCAACAATAATGGATAAATTATCATCATCATCATCGTCTTCATCGATTTCATTGGCAAAAGTATTGTCATCAAATTCATTATCAGTATCAATGCCTACTTCGGCTTCACCGTCGGACGAAAGTAAGTTAGTCAGACTCTTATTGTCTTCTTCATCGCAATCAAAAGTTGCTTGCTTCATAATGCGTCGATGCAGGGTGATAGGTGAATTATTTAAGGCCTCTTTCAATTCTTGTTCTATATCCATTACCACAATCTCTTCACAAATTTCTTCAAGTATATCTGGTTCATTTTCTGCAATTATTTCTGCTGAAATGTCGGTAGTTGATTCTGTAATTGTATCAGCCATTACCACAGCACCTAAATCAACATCCTCCTTTGGCAAATTTGTTTCATTATCATCTAATGTCTGCTGAACCGAGTCTAGCAATTCTGCATTTGTTTCCTCTATTATAGCGGGAAACTTCTCAACTTTTGCCAGATTAGAGTTGAAATCCTTTTCAGTTTCAAGATTAGCTAATGTTTCTGCTATACTAGCATTATTATCAGTTAGAGTTTCCGGTTCATAGTCTTCTAAATCCGGCGCAAATGTTACTTTACGATTTGCATTGCTTGTCTCACTGCTATTCCCATTATCCGTATCCGAATCAGCAAACAACTCCTTATTCGCTTCCTTAATTTTATCCACGATGTTGTATTCGTTGACAGGCTTTAAAACTTTAGACATTTTTTAATGTAATAATGTGTAAAAAAATAATTTAAAAAAAAGAACTAAGCAAATATGCACAGGTTACTTACAGTAGACTTCGCAATCCTCATCTGACTCGCCCTCGTGCTGCAACATCTCAGCCAAGCGTGTCCGACAGTCAAGCTGCGTGTAATTTTTGCTAAAAATATTTCAATATTCAAAATATAAACTCCATTCGGTTCGTCATGAATCATATATTTCAGATACCTTATTGACACAAAACACTGCACCGCTTTGTAACAATCACCGAAGTACTATCAACTCTTATGCACTCTCATATACCCAATAAATTTTCTTCCGTATATTTGAAATCAGTATGTGTATAAGGAGTAACGCTTTCTAATATATAATGCCAACAACTTTAACTTAGTTAATAGTAAATTTATAGGTTTTTATGTTATTTCCAAAGTTTAGATGCACGCTATACTGACAAGTTTTTTAATTTAACCCTTTAAACTGTTAAACCACTCTTAAACCTCCCTACACACAATAATTGAACAAATACAAACGAAACGAATCAATAAATAACCTTCTACCTCAAAATTTTGGAGCTTACATATATATATTAACTCAAGTATTATGTTGACTGTTATAGTTTTATTAATACAACTTAACATCGAGATATTGAAGTATCCATCAGTTGTTACCACAATTATGGTTTCCATGTAAAAGCATTGCTCTTTTGAAACACTCAAACGATTTATTGCACATTAGGCGAAATGTTCAAAAATAAATTAATGTCTGTCTGTCAAGCTCTTCTTAACTAGATAGAGTTTAATAGTAAAAGTTAAAGTAAAATAAAGTAGACCACAACATTGTTACAATAAATAAATTAGGATAGAAAAAAGAGAATAAAAGGTTTCAAGTAGTTCACAGCATTGTTACCATAACAGATCTTTTGTTCCACAAATAAGACCCCGAACAAACATTATGCATTTAAGGATAGGATATTTTCTATTAAAAGAAATATGCTCCGATCTTAGCAGAGCATAACGACCTTAACACCTATTTTACTGTTTAGTGAAATCCAATTTGTCTTTTGTTAAGAGTAAAGAGATAGTAGCAAAGTATTCCAAATTTGAACATATATTTAGTGTATCAAATAAGTTCTTAACTAAACACAAAGTAATTCATCTTCTTAGCGAAACATTTCTTTAATTGAAACATTTCTGAATACCGACGGGGTCTAAAGTTTCCGCTTTAATAACATTAACCTTGTAACAATGTATAACATAGAGCAGGACCAGAATATTGTCGCATAGAACACGGCAATACTCTATATAAGAGAAAAGGAGTATATTAAAATAATATTATAAACTTGTGATGATTGAATTTACAGAAATCATTAGTTTGTGTTTTTAAATTTATTTTTATACTCAACTGTAACTTTTGATATAGTTCTATTAACCAAGCATAAGACTACGTTCCCAATCAGCATTCCTTTAAAAAATATCTTTCTGTTTCTTTAAAGTATATACTTTATAGTCCTTCGCTATCAAGAGAGGATCTTTTTGACTATTCTACTGACGGTATTTACATCATATGTAACGTATATTTAAAATACAGTATAATGTATTTCATAATAATCATAATCATAATAATAATAATCATAATCGTAAGAGCCATTAGGTCATCAAATGTACTCTAAATTTATTTTACAATCATTTAGAAACTTATAATTTTGAATAACTTTATGTTTTTGTTCTACAATTCTACTCTAACACAACACTTTTTTAACATTCTAGACGTTTTGAATCGGTATCTTTAAAACAGGCCTTTGTTTTGACAGTACCTTCAATCCAGTCGACTATTGCTCCCTAGAACATCTTTTTGAAATAATATAACAAATAGTAGTAGCAAATATTGTCGACTTGTAACACAATACCTTATCTTGATGGATAACTTTCCTCTACCTATTAAGGAGTCATCAATAACGTTATATAATATAATATTACATACATGTAGAATTTATAATAGCATGTATATAGTATGTAGTATTATAATAGTATGTGTACATAATATTATACATTATATTATAGTATAAATATAATATATACATATATAGAATATTATAGGTATAGTATATACCATAGTATTTATATAATATTCTATTTTGATAATTTGTCAGCTTTCAAGGTAATTGATAAAAATAAATTACCATTTGGATCTCAAAATCGCTATTTTTTATCCATATCTTATCCTTTCCAAAGTTTTGTATATCATTACCCAATATTCATTAAAAATTATTATTATGGAGGACAGATTAATAAATCGTGAAGCATGCTTTTAAATTTTAAATATTCTATTAAAATAAGTAATATATAATACTATTAGAAATTGGCAAAGCAGAGATTCTACAGCAGAAAATCCCTATTATAAAGTTTATATTAACATTTTTTTCACAATTTGATCGACGTACTTGTATCCTTTTTATTCAAGAGGAAATTCTAACTTAATGAGAATTAAGAATTTAGTTTTATTTTGGAGATAGTTGCTTATTGTAGAAAACTAAATTCTTCATTTAAATAGAGAAATTTGTCAGAATTCATTTATTTATTTATTTATACTCAATAAAGCTGAGTGCTGGCATATACTAACAAATGGGAAGTCTGTAAAAAGATTACATCCTACAAAAAGAATCATCCTACATCTTTTGTGATCAATTAACTTGTGACTATTAACTTGTAACTCTTTATTTGTATTAGCCAACAGAAATAGTGGGCTTTAACAGCTCTGGACTCACTTGAATTTAGATAAATTTTGCAAAGCTAATATAGCTCTCATCTAATATATTATAATTATGCTCTATAATAAGTGATGCATAGATTGTTTCCTTTTATTGTAATTTTCTGGAATCATATTAGACTCAATTACACTGTAACCAACAGCAGACTGTCCTGGAAAAATTTGAAGAAACAGATTGTAAAGAGATAGAAAAATTCTTCGATGGTATTAAAATTGATTGATTGACTTAATAGTCGTATATTTTTAAAAGGGTTATAATCTATAAAATAACAAGTTAGTGAATATATTTTTTGCTTAGAATCTAACTCTCTTTATTCTGTAATCGTTAATATTTTGCATTACAAGTAACAAAATTTCTATGTTGTGGCGGTTATAACTAATTTAATAATTCTTTCATTTTGTTACCAGGCAGTCTATTCATTTTTGTTTTTTAAATTGTTTGGTCGATATATCTTTTAGAGTTTATTGAAGCTTCGAAAAAGTGTCGTTACAGTACCACAGTACTCTTAAAACAAAATTTACGTGTTTTATAGATTTTATATGCCTAAAAGTATTACTAGCGATTAGTTTTAGAAAACTACATAATTTAAACTTAATTTAATTTAAATTAAATTTGATTTAAGAACTATGTTATATGAGAGCTTATCAAGAGAAAAACTTTAGAGTGCGTTTATACTACAAAAGTGTATAGTTTAGTATATAGTGCAAGTTAAAAGAATGAATTTTATATTTTCAAACTATAATATCTATAGAAAATAGATAAAATTCTTTTAAGATTCGGAAGCTTTTAAAGTGGTTGGTTATCGTAAAGAAATATCCGTAGCTGTACAGGAAATTATTTATTGTAATAATATAAGTGAATATTATAATTATTTGGCATGTGTAATATTAGACAGCTGTATTAGAGCCTTAAATGTAATATTTTGGTGGATGAGCTTAAATGAATTATAAAGTTTTAAAAGGCAATAATAAATACTCTGCAGTATATTCGAGTACAGGAACTATAGTGTTGAGGCATTGCGATCCCATTTACAATTAGTGAGTCCGCAGTTCTTAGAACTAAAACTATCGCCTATCTCTTTAACTCGGTATCACTAAGGATACAATGAAGTCGCAATCCCACAAAACTATATTATATGCTCGATTCTACTTTAAAAAAGGAAGAGAATAATTCCTGTATCCTCAATATCTTTAATTTTTATAAACAAATAAATCATAAGTAGTACTTAATGTTTTATTTATAAAATTTTACTTTACTGAGCGCATTAAATAAATTTAACAAATTTCTCGTCTCAGCTCGAATTGGTATTACTTGCCAAAATTTCATTTCTTTTATGTCCTCCAATATTACATATAATTATTGCAATATTACATATAATTATTGTACTTACTTTATTTATTTGGCTTAAATAACTTATTACCATGTTTTGGCCTGACACAGCACTACTCCACAGGTGCCTTTTTTGTGTGCACTTTCTGTATTCTTGTACCGTAAATAAAGTTAATACACCACTAAATACACAGTCCTTTCCGTCTTCTCTTTTCTCTTTCTAAAGAAGTAACGTTTCTCATGCTCAGAACAAAATCAACCAAGCTTAGACGTTGGATGTCAATTCACTAAATAAAATTAAAGCAGTGATAAAGTCCATACGCTCGTAGACAGTCATCCCAAACTTGTTCAGGACCAAAAAACATACGGAGAACTTTTCTGTCGAACACCTCCAGTGTTACTTGATCATTCTATAATAGCATCCATACTTCTGCGCCAAACAGCAGCACAAGTTGTGTAAGCTCTTAAAAAACGTAAGTTAGATCGGGCAAGAGAGCTTAACATCACAATTACCTACTTAATCCATAGTAGTAGAATTTATTTCTAATTTTTCTATCTAATTTTCTTACACATATTTGTATATTAAGCTTTTGTACAACGTGCTGTGACTATTGAGTTATAGATAAACCCGCAGAATGATTCACATGTGTCATAATCATATCATATATAATCAGATGGCATAATACCACTGTTACGACTGAAGAAAACTCGATATTTAAGCAGTTGGTGGTTTTACTTAGTACATTGACACGAATAAGTTTAACTTAGATATTAAACATTTCCTGATTATATTCAATCACCTATATTGTATCGAGGCTGGTACACTCATATCTTTATCGTAGATTCTCTGGATTTTGTTTTAAAAAATTTTTTAGCATTACTTTTCGGAGCTCTCTTTGAGAGCAGTTTAACTCCATCAATAGATTGTTGTAGAGATCAAAACAAATGATAATGTAACAGTGCAATATCAGGATTTTACGATGGTGTCATCATAAAAATTCTTAGTACAAAGTATCTCTTATTTTGTCGGATTAATAAAAATATAAAAAAACAATATATGTGTTGTAATCTTATAATTATCTTTATTGTTTTCTAATACATATACATATGTACTTATATACCTATATATAAATAGAGCTTTTAAAATGAAGCTGAGATTTGTTGCTCATTATCTAAAAAGCGTTCCAAACGTTAACTTTTAAAATATTTCCTTAACCTAAATATATATTTTTTTTAACGTAATCCCACTTATAAAGTATGTGTTATATTTTGATTTTTTACAAAATAAATATATATAATTTTAATTTATTGAATAAGAATTTTTTGCAAACTAATGCTTAAATAGAAGTACGAAGCTTCAATCACAATCACTACTTTGGCACTTCTAACTAAATCAGAAAGCAGAGTGCTAAGTTTCTCATTCTAGTCTCTGTCTTTAAATTAATGGATTGTTAGGAAGAGAAAAAAATTGTCAGGCGCAACATAAATAAACTAATTTTTTTTTCTTTTTAGCATTCATATAAATATATTTATATATATTATATATGATATTATAATAATTTAGTTTTGTTTTATTTTTCATTATTATTTAGGTAGTAAAAAAAATTTATAAAAATATAAATTAATTAAGCATAACTTATGCATTAAGCTAATTACTTATGCATAATTAGAGAAAAAAATTTTAATTATTTCATTTATACAAATATATTTAAGTATTAATTAATGTATTACACTTATTTCTAAATTAATATTTATTTTATTTAAAAACTTTTTTATAAATATTTGTATATTTTTACAAATATTTTTATATGCAATTATGCAAAAATTTTATATATAAAATTTACCAACTTTGAGCAAATTTTTACTTCATTAAGACTTTTTATTTATTCACATCTAAAAGTTTATTTATTTTTTATTTAATATTTTTTTTTGTCTTTGGTGTTCTCGTATTTGTGTTAATTTTTGTGTTAATTTTTTTTACTGCAAATTTTGCAAGTAAAGATACTTTTTTGTTTTTTTTTTAAACATGTGATCTATCTTAATTGTGCTCGTGTGCCTTCTAATTAGAATGTTTTATCAAATATTTAGTTTGGATTTTTTTTTTGTAAATATTTAACTCGTACTTTTATCTCTATCTCTGGTTCATTGTTTGTTCTGGAAGCTGTGTGAAATTATTAAACATATCTGGTTGTTCTTAATAAATTAAAATATATGCATGTATATAGTATTTTTTTATATAGTAGTCACTTAATTCATTTCTTCTATAGTTTCAATTACATATATAACTGCCCCAGTAATGTGTCTCAAGATAATTTAGTTTAATATCTATTTACGAAACAATTTAAAAGAATTTGATATACTCTGACTATTTCGTAACGAAGATTTTCTGTCATATGCTTTCTATTATAAGTGATAAAATTAAGTCTTTTTCGTATGCTCGATGAATATTTTTAATAGTAACTATAAAATATATGGTAATTAGCAACATTTTACATATTAACATATATAAATAAAATTAAATATTTTTATAAACTATTAAAAAAATTTTAAATGATTTTCAGCTGTAGAATAAGTACTAATATTTATCTATAAAATTTTGTTTTTAATCTATTAGATAAATCTTAAAATCTTTGCTATATCTATTGCATTATGTATTATTAAAGTAACATAATTATATTTTCATAATGTTGAACCGTTATATCAAATATAGTTATAGTTGCCGATCTTATATAGAATCAGTAAAAAGAAAATATATTTATTAAACACTGTTTATTAAAAAATTCTTAAAAGGAACCTTCCACAGAATATTAAGTTTAAAGAAATAAAAAATATTTATTTAAATACAGTTTAGAATTTTTTTTTATGCATATTTTTATTTTAGTATATCTTTAATTAAAATCCTTTCACTTCCTAATTATTTAATTTGGAATATTATATATGAAAGAAAATTGCCCAGAACTGTACATTTTCTTGCAAAAACAAGTTTTACTTAAATAGACATTTAGAATCAGCATTTAGATAGATAAGAAGATATATAGGTCATGATGGCAATAAGAAAGCAGATAAGCCAAACTATTGGCAAAAATCATCTTTATAGGATCCAATTCCACCTATGGCAAAAACTCTTTGCCACCTTGCCAGACTGTCAGCTAAAACCATGTTCAGGATTTGGAACTGGATCTATGGCTTTTTAGCAAAAGATAAAGAAGCCAGACTGTCGGTTTAAACCATTGTTATATTATCTTTTTTAGCAAAAGATAAAGAAAATCAGATTTTGGACTAAAACCACCCCTATATGGATTTTAAACAAAAGATAAACAAGTTAGGCTTTTGACCAACCTGTAGCTTTTTAACAGAAAATAAAAATAATATCATTGTTTAACGAATTATGGAAAAAAATGACTTCTCTTTATATGCTTTGAACAACATACCTAATTTACAACAAAAAAAAACAAGAAGATGACACGTTACGACTCATGAGACGTTGATGTAAGAACCCTATAAAACCAATATAGTCTGTTACATCTACAACTGCATTGCATTAATTATATATCTCTTAATCAGTCGAATACAGATATTGTTGCAAAAACGGTGAAATATGGAACACCTGTTTAAGGCTGTCCTTGGCTCGACAATTGGTAATTGGAATGCAGGAAATAAATAAATTAATAAATAAGTTTCATGATTCAAATAAATGTCACATTCATCT